GCCTGGTATCCTGATAAACTGATATTAAATATAACAGAGTTATTTTTACAGAGTTGCCTGGTATCCTGATAAAGTGTTATTAGATATAACAGAGCTATTCTATACAGAGTGGCCTGGTATCCTGATAAACTGATATAATATATAACAGAGTTATTCTATACAGAGTGGCCTGGTATCCTGATAAAGTGGCATTAGATATAACAGAGTTATTCTATACAGAGTGGCCTGGTATCCTGATAAAGTGGCATTAGATATAACAGAGTTATTCTATACAGAGTGGCCTGGTATCCTGATAAAGTGGCATTAGATATAACAGAGTTATTCTATACAGAGTGGCCTGGTATCCTGATAAAGTGTTATTAGATATAACAGAGCTATTCTATACAGAGTGGCCTGGTATCCTGATAAAGTGGCATTAGATATAACAGAGTTATTCTATACAGGGTTTCCTGGTATCCTGATAAAGTGGCATTAGATATAACAGAGTTATTCTATACAGGGTTTCCTGGTATCCTGATGAACTGAAATTAGATATAACAGAGTTATTCTATACAGGGTTGCCTGGTATCCTGATAAAGTGTTATTAGATATAACAGAGTTATTCTATACAGAATTAAATATCTGCTTCTGTTCTTCCTTTTTCCAATAATCTCCTGCTTTACATTTTCATCCTGTGTAATATTCTTCAACACTTTTAACCTCATTGTTTATAGCTTTCCATGAGGAAATGGAGGTTTGATTATTTTTCCTGTCTACTACACAGATAAAAAGTAGATGCACATGTTGGCCAGTGCACTACAAAGCAATAGAGATTGTAAGAAGTCTTATAATGGATAACCAGAATTCAAGTAAAGAATACCGCTATATTAAAAGACTGGTGACTTCTGCAGTTAAAACTCACACAAACACAGTACGCAAACTACAGGCAGGTGACCTGGCCTATTTATATACAACCAAACTAATAAATAATAAAGATATGAAGGATGTAGGCATTTGAAATATTGAAGGTAAATACCAGACCGATAGTAATGTCCACAATCGTAAGATCTTCTTTTGTTTCATATACAAAACAGAAGTTTTCTTTTCATTTCTGAATTGAAAGTTATATCAGCAGTGAATGGGTTTGTGTCAAAAACAGTTTAGTGCCTAGTATGAAAACTTCACAAAAGTAACTTTTCATTCTATTTTTTTGTATGAGAGCAATTTCTTTTTACTGCTTTGACAATTAATATTTCAAGTTTTTAAAACAAATAAAAGCATACTCGATCAAAATACAAATGATCCCTCTTTTATCAGCCAGGATTTCAACATATAGCACTTTGTAAAGTCTGTCTGACATAATCTTATCAAACCTGTTCAAAATAAGCTCCATGTAAACCATTTTACAATTTACTGTAGAAAACTGTTTTCCGATGACAGAGATTTATCAGGATTACATATATATTGCAGTGACTCTGACTTTCTTGCACTCGTAATATCCTTAAGATTTTAGAGTGCACTCAGGTAAAAATGATATCCTCAATACATTTCTAAAATGACTGAAGTCAGATTTCAAACTTTAGATCAAAGAAACTTTTTTTTAAATAGAATTTACTTCTGAACAAAGTTTGGTATCACAGACATGTCTCAGATTGTTTTGTTTTTAATTAATTAGACTTCAAAGTACAGATCTATCAAAATGACTTTCAACACACTCTGTACACGAAATGGAGTGCTTTATCTCAAGCATTAGTTGTGCTCTAGACCAACTATTTTCAATGACAAAGGTCCAAGGTCAAAGTATTGGTTACAGTAGCCTCAAAAATGTAGAAGCTTCATCATACAGAAGCTTATACTTTCTTAGATTACCAAATGTAATGAAGTGGGAACAATTTTATATGGAGAATTTCCTTGCATTCACCTGATCGATCATGGTATTCTAAGTCTAGACAAATTATATAGAGGATATGACTGGCTATAAACCACATCATCAATTAATTTGTGTCTGTATATTTCTGTCTATAAATGAGTTTTATCCTGCAAATCAATATCAGAAATAATTCTGCTCTCTAACCAAAGTGTAAATTAAATATCGTTTAAGAAGTGCATCTTGAAAACATAGCTTTAATCATTACGATCAAGACCAATTTTACAAATTTGATTTACCCCACTTTTCTATAACTACTTTCACCTTTTAATGATAGAAAATCATGTAAATATAAAGCATATAAGTATATTTTCATATCACATATTATAACCATATTTCATGTAAAATAATCTAACACAAAAAAATGCATTATGCATATACATCATTTCATTTAAAAAAAACGGTTCCTTCATTTCTGTATAATTCATTTATTTTTTTCTATAACTGCACACAGCTCAAAATGTCTTTGGTGCTATAAACCAGAGTAGTACACAATACCTAGTCAACAAATCAGAATATAGGTTAACATATCTTGTCAATAGAACCAGACTATAGTACAAAATATCTTGTCAATAGAAAAAGAATATAGTACACTATATCTTGTCAATGGAACCACGATACAGTACACCATACCTTGGCAATGGAACCACAATATAGTACACAATATCTTGGCAATAGAACCAGAATATAGTACACTATATCTTGGCAATGGAACCAGAATATAGTACACCATATCTTGTCAATAGAACCAGAATATATTACAACATATCTTGTCAATAGAACCAGAACACAGTACACCATATCTTGTCAATGGAACCAGAATATAGTACACTATATCTTGTCAATAGAACCAGAATATAGTACCACATATCTTGTCAATCGAACCAGAATATAGTACACCATATCTTATCAATAGAACCAGAATATAGTACCACATATCTATAGTACAATACCTTGAAAATGGCACAGATTTAGTACCACATATCTTGTCAATAGAACCAGAATATAGTACACCATATCTTATCAATAGAACCAGAATATAGTACACCATATCTTGTCAATGGAACCAGAATATAGTACACTATACCTTGGCAATGGAACCAGAAGACAGTACACTATATCTTAGAACCAGAATATAGTAAACTATATCTTGTCAATGGAACCAGAACATAGTACACTATACCTTGAAAATGGCACCAGGATTTAGTACACCATATCTTGTCAATAGAACCAGAACATTTTAAACTATATCTTGTCACTGGAACCAGAATATAATACACCATATCTTGTCTATAGAACCAGAATACAGTAAACCATTTTTGGTAAACCAAGGATACTCAACATAGTGTTTGTTTTTGGGCAGAGATATTCCATTCCTGAGCTTATGTCTCTTAGACTGTGGGACTCATCTCAAAACAAATTACTATTAAAAATGATATATCAATTGTGTTGCGGCTTGATTGCATCATGGTTATGTTTCAATTAAGTTAAAAAACAAATTTAATTCTTGCAACACTTAATATACTTTAAGGTCATACAGTACTGGTTAAACATGCATCCATCAAAAAGTTACAGGCCTAGAGCAAGTATCATTACACAATGGTTTATTACATTAAGTTGTCATCATCACAGCTACTGTTACCGTGGAGATATTCACATAAATATTTTCCATAAAATGATATATCATGACCTGTAAAACAAGAGCTGTTTGTGAATGACATAGTTCACTTTTCATTGCAATAAGAAGTCTTAATGGCTCATATTTCATTATCAAAAGTTTAATTTGTGAGAAAAACCATTAAATATCCCAACAACATAATGTAAAATTTAAAAAAAACCACTTCAAATGGTAAATTCCTTATTTCTGGCGACAAGCATGAAGTATCCACATCTTCTTTTATAACCAGGTGATATCTACATATATTGTTACTTAAATTTATCACAATAAGTTATACACTTTAATCTATTCAACCCATATAAAAAATTTTATTTATTATTTTTTTTTTTTTTTCAATTTTGCATTTCACTTTATTTATCTTGCACACAACACAACACAAACACGAATACCAAATGCTGGCATCCTATTAAATATAATGCATGATCTACTAAATTCAATACTCATACCAAATCTTAACCTCAACAAATGCCCTATGTAGACACACATCCAAACATGGATGTCAACACTGGTGTGACAACACAACAGCCCCTGTCAGAATGTGGCAATTCCAATCATATTTAAATTTTTGTTGAAAATTCTAAACAAATTTATAAGGTATGTCTACTGTAGGAAAATCATACAATTAAGGTTAAATATCTATACTTTCATTGTGTTGTGTTCATGCAGAATATATACATGTTTACTATTTACAGTTTAAGGAGGAGCAGTGTCCTATCTTATAACCATGATGGCATTATGTTTTGTTCTAGAATTTCTAGATCTCAAATAAAGTAAAATAACAGGTGGTTTGGTTTTAACAGCTTCAAAAATCATAAAATGGCCCTCTTATGGAGGATCCAAGAAATAGCAAACATTGTACACCTATACATGACAATGTCACCAGAAAGTCAATACTCGACCTTTGAAATGCTGGTCTCCTATGACAACTCCGAACAAGGTGAAGCAGGAACATATTTTTTCCTTTTCCATTGATATTGTTAACACAATCATCATTCAGTACAATTCTGTGAGTTCTGATACATCTGGATTACAAATTGTCTTTTATTGAATAACTCCATAGCATCATAGAAATCAATCATTGTTTGCCAGTAATTGTATCAATTCAGATAATCATACAAATGCTATTATATTTCTAACTTTGAATATCCTGCTATCAGTAAAGTATGGATTACTGGTCCTGTGACTGTATAATGGTTTTTGTTGAGTTAGCCTTTTTGTGTCCTACACAGGAACAATGCTTGTTTGTAACCATTTTCCAAACAGACTAATCATCACATGAACAATCTCTCAAGGTCATATTATGCAATAAGAAACTGGCTTTTCTCTTTTCTTGGCTAATGAGTAAAGCACATGTTCCTACAGCTTGATATAGGCTCTCAAAGCCTACCATTATATATACAATCATTGTATTCTTACCTCTGGCCGATAATTTCTTTGTGTTAATGATTTTTGCAGCAAACTCTAAATTTGTGGATTTCTGTACACATCTTCTCACAATGGAAAAAGCACCCCTGCAAGTAAAGGAAGAGAAATATGTAAAATTAAATCATATGTCAGTTGCTGAAATCATATTAGCTCATCTAGTAGATTATATCCGTCTAGGTTCCTTAATACATGTAACAGTGTCCTTTCAGAAATCAATGACCAGGAAAGACCATTGTTTTCCATTGTCTGACCCTGTCATGAGAATGATATATGACACTATCGTTACAGACTTGCATCCAGTCTTCTCATACCATTTTTATTGGAACCAAGCAAGAAATAATGAAGTTGACAGAGCTTTAAATCTCCTAACAAGCATCAAGTGGCCTTTAAACTTTAGTTAAATTGAATCGAAGTTTTTTTCCAAGGAACATTTTCTAAGCTTGGTAATGTCAATAGAACAGAAGTTCTTATAACACAACCAGAAGATTTGAGTGCAATAGTTCGATGACTGCATGGTCACCTTCACCAGACAAATGACCAGTGTGGAATGTACTAGCATCAACATCTGTGGTGTACAAGGCAGTAGGGAATCGACCATCTTTTTCGGCTGTACTATAATCATATATACATTCAGGTCGAAAATAGTAAGTAATGAGATGGTAAACAGATTATAGATAAAACGAGAATTCCACTGAAGTGGATGTGTCACCTGCCTAGCAAGGATTCTGGAGAAAAGTTTTATGGAAGAACAGCCATAGATATTCATTGTATTTATTCCATTTATATAATTTGTCCATTTGTTTGAGATGTGATGAGTAACCTTGCAGATTAGATCATAGTGCTGAGAATAGATATGTATATCACAATTATGTGCAGAATTATGATTTTTAAAAAAGTATTAATTTGCTCCAAATATGGCAATCTGAAACAAGTCCCTTTGGTTAAGAAGCATTGTATGAAGTTTGAGTCCAATTGTCCAAAACAAAAACTCCAGTAATCACACTAAAGAAATTTTCTTTTAACATCTACAGTGATCTTGACCTTTGACCTTGAAGCAATCCTAACCAAATACCTTTGGTAAGGCTATTGTAAGAAAACAAATTTTCTATTCATAGTAAAAGTGACCTTGACCTTTGACTTTCAAACTTGAATAGCAATCCGAAGCAAGCCCTTTTGAAAATGAAAACACTGCATGAAGTTTGAGTAATTGTCCAAAGAAATTCAAGTTATCACCTGAAACCAATCTCCGATAAATGGTAACACTGTCCTTGACCACTGACCTTCAAACCTCAAAAGCAATCCCAAGAAAGCACTTTTGGTACGGAAGCACTTCATGAAGTTTGAGGTTGATCAGACAAAGAGAAATGAAGTTATATATAACAAGTTTTTTTGATCAATACAAATATAAACATATTTATATCAGATCATTTATACATATATATATATACAGTCAAAATCAAGGGACATGTTTCGAATTAACTGAATTTCGACTCAACAAAGTGTATAAATGAGGTTGACGATATCAGCTTCCTGACTTTGAGATACATGCAGTTTAATCTGTTATTTGAAATGACAGTAACTAAACAAATATTTTATTTTCACTTTCTCCTTATATCGTTTATACATGCAAACAACAAATGTACAACACCCTTATTGACCGCACAAATGTACAACACCCTTATTGACCAAGTACATATATTTCACAAAATGACAATAAAACGAAATTAAAATTTCCTTTCAATAAGCTACGGATCATATTAATATGACTTTATCATGGATAAATAAACACATGAAAAACACGGCACTAGATTTTTTTTACCTGAAAACACTGTACAACCACTAGACTTAACAAATCACGAAGTGCCTGGTAACAGTCTGTTAGTAAACAAGCTCAAGATTAGTTTCTCTCAAAAAAGTATGGATCATATTTCGCCAAAACGTTTGTACTAGTACGACGCTTTTGTTTTTATCCTTCCTGAAGATGCACGAAACCAAACTCAATGTTTTCATGTTTTGTATAAAAGCACTACTTTTTTAACATACAAGTAAGTGACTACCACAGGATGGTGACACTAATTTAGGAGCCAACCTTAAATTGGATAATTAAACTGGTTATTAATTGCCAGAGATCAAGTGTTGTGTGTACAATGGACCGATATGCTGTAATTAGCCATGTATTACACATAGGTGACTTTCTACTCTGTATATATATTAATCAATTTCGTCAGAAGATGTGCTGATGTTTTGATAAAAATCACTTTCGAGGCGACAAATGACTTTCCCCTTGCTTTACAATTGAAGGGACTGAAAAATCGTTTTGTCTCGAGCGAGATTTCGACTCAATGAAATTCAAGTCATCGAAACTAAAATTACAAAGAAAAAGAAGGATAAAAATCGGAATTCGCAAATTATTTTGACTCAAACAGAATTTCGACTCAAGTGCTTTACGTGACAACAAGTTTCAACTATATATAAATACCTGAACTTTTTTTTAAATAAAAAAAAATCACAATACATTTGGTTTGTTCCAGATGCCAGACAATACTGACCTATTGTCTATATTGCAATAGCTACCACAACGTATAGCTAGCGAGTCTGAAACTCAGTTTCCACCCACAAAAGGTGTAATGGTGGATTGCGAAACTATGTAGTGATCTGCAATACACGTGATTCTAGAAATCACCCTCTGCCTCTATAGGCTAAAATTGGAAGGTCACGATTTCATTGATATGTATGTTCACTTTTGACTTTTATGTTATATGAAAAAGAATTCCCTGAAGTCAAGACGGGTAGACAATTATTTAAGGAAAAAAAAATACAAGGCTATAAGCTTGTTTACAACAGGACTGTTACAGCATTACATATCAATTTCTAAAAGATTTAAAATCTACTTTACTCAAAATGATAATCTAATGCTTTTGTAGATGATTAAACAATTAACAACTGTAACCAAGATTTTGATTAGCTAAGCCACAGCATTCCAATAAGAATTTGGAAAAATTAGGGAGTTTCATTCAGTCTTGCTAGATTTTATGTCATACACAGTTGATCTGAATCCTTGTACCCTCATACATCCAAATATCCCAGGGAAAGGATTGAGAATTCCTAGAACATTCTAAAGCCACAGGGACTGACAAATTAAATACGTATTCCAGCAAGACAAGCATAATCAAGTGTTCCAGCAATTCTTACGGATTATACATACGTATGGTAACACACCTTAAGAAGATGCGTAAGTGTTTGATATAAGGACAGCAGGGGGTTTGTTGCTGTGCAGCATTGTTTCACACCAGCAGTGTACAGAAATCTCACTAGTAATATTGATCCATCAACTTGCAAAGGTCAAGTCTAGTCTGGTCAATATCTTATCCTCCTAACTACAGCTGTTTCATTAAGCTCTCATCAGTAAACACAATTTACTATTTCCTGTCACTGAAAAGGCTTCCAAAAGGCACAACTGAAGTCATAAATTTGGTTTCAAAATAACACCAAAGTCTAAAGATATAGATTCAGCATTTAAGTCTGCAAAATGGGAGTTACTCTCCCAGTGCAAAATGGTAGTTGCTACCAAATTTCAAAATAGGAGGTATTCTGAAAATACAAACATGTTTCTATAGATGTCCGTCTTTTCATGCAGTATTCTATTGTTGTGTTCATGATCATCTAGATATGAAAGAAGTCTAATCTGATAGTAGATTTGTGCCATTTGATTTCTTCTGTATCACAGAAGTGTTGATATTCATGTGAATATATATTTATATATACATATATACATAAATCTTCATCTTGTGTTCACCATAAAATGTAAGGTCTATATTATCTACCTAATATGAAAAGATTTGAACCATAATAATGCTTGCAATTCGCTGCAACTGACCTTGACCAACTTGTAGCTGAGATATTCCATCTCCTTTTTGCAACACAACTATTCTTTAGCAAAATTTTACAATGGAAGTTTACAACAGAATGCATATAAAAGATTTTGGCCATGATTTTTCATAATTTGATATTTCAGCCTGAAATAAAGCAATAATGCATACAGTCTACGGTATCCTGTCTATTACGGCACACAGATGACCATGAAAGCCTGTCCTATCTCCTTCAGCTTAAACTCTGGTGAATATGCATATTTTGACTGCAGAATGAGGTCACATGATGCGTGACATCAAATCGTTACTTCCCTGATGGTGAGCTTCTATTTACCTTATAAAATATGCCTTTTATATATCAAGCTTATATCCATTAATATATGTCTAAGATCTACCTTTAAAACCTACTTTTGTATACAATGCATAGTTTGCATAATGATATTTGAAAGCTAAAATTGAAGTGCTTTTTTCCTTATTTATGGGACATGACTTTATGCAGTTATATGAATGACCTTTTCCTAAATGATTCACAGCTTATATCGTTATACCTAAAATATCTGCAGTAAACTGTTACTTTTCACTAGAATTTTTCATTCCAAACACGGATATCAAATTAATGACTTATATAAGAAATCAGAAATCTTCAGGAAAAAGGAAGTTTTGCCATATTTTAATTCAAGATCTAAGTAAAGGTTGAAGAAATAAAATTCCAAACCAAATCAAATTGAAATTTTATCATAATCAAGTAATTGAAATCATAGAAAAAGGGTTAATTTTTACAAGACCATCTTCTCCAAATGCAAAAGGCTTGCCAATTTTTCCTTTCTTTACCCTTGCAAAATTACAGCTTATATTTTAAGACACTGACCATGTATTCTTTGTATAATATACTGTATATATATCAGCCAGGTCATACTGCCTCTGAGATGTTTCAAAAGTTTAAATGATTTTTCATCAGTTCTGTCTTGTACTCTTGAAATTTGAAATATCAATTTGGACTTGTGTATGCTAATTCTGTCGTAACATTTTCATATATAGCCAGTCAATACATGTGATAGACATTTGTAATTTTTAAAAGTACAGGAAATTCTGATGACATATTAGACACTGTCAGTCAAAATAACACTTTGATGTCACACATACCACATGACCAGTCACCTCATTAAACTTTATGCTCATGTATAACAAGTGCTTTCATCTACCTACAAATAGACATC